TAGTTATGCTCAGAAAAAGATGGCCAATATCCATCAGGAAACCCATTTTCCAATACCTCAGAACTCCCCACATTCCTTCTTTACAAATAAAGAAATTAAGATCCAGAAGAGAAGGGCTGGTACCACATTCCAACAGAAGATTCACAGGACTTATGAGGGTGGCTTTTTTTTATAGTTACCTCCTCAGTTTTAGAAGTGTGCCATAGTAGAAGGTAAAATAACGTACAGAATTTCCAAATTCTTTTAAGTAAATTTTCTGTCCTTCAGTGTGTGTGTATGCACACACAGACTCACACACATGCTTTGCTTCCCCATGCAGACCCCATGCCAAGATCCTCTGAGGAAATAGATTCTTGACGTGTCTTCATTAATTCAAGAATGTGGTATAAAGGTTACAAAACGAACACCAGTGAGCAGCTGCTTTGATGGTGAATGGTCCAGTCCCTAGAGAGGCAGCGGTTCTCTCTCCCAGCCTCTGAGGCGTTAATGACTTCAAATACCTTGGTATTCATTTACATCCTCATTTAAATACTTGGTAGAAAAATAATTACACTGAGGTGTTTGATGAGATGAAATCTGATCTCAGCAGATGGAGTAAGGCTTCCCCTTTCATCAGCAGGGAAACCAAGTGTCATTTAAATGAAAATCTTCCTGCAATCTCTTTATTCCTAAGTTTGCTGCCCATATCCCTGAGGAAATGCTTTCATCAAAAAGGCCTAGTTATTGGGAAAGGATACCAATTTCTGAAGTAATTGTCATTACGTTGTCAGGTACAGAAGGAATGGTCCCCACCCCCATTTTTGCTGACACTCTCTGTGGCTTTCAAGTCTTGGCTTGAAATTCCACGCAAATGTGTCTGAAAATGGAAGTTTTCCAGTTAATGTTTTGGATCCAGTTCCGTGTGCTGGTATCAATATAGGAGAATGCCAACCACTCTGACTCTATTGGCCTCACAGCACTCTACAGTGTTAGCAACGGGTCTAAAAGACACGTAGCATGTGCTCCCATACTGCCTCCCAAGCTGGCGTCTCACTGCGATGAGGCACTTGAGTTCCCAGTCAGTGCGGAAGCTAGTGTGGGTGGAGAGAATGAAAGCAGTTTCATCCACTGTTTCCATGGAAGCAACATACAACCCTGAGTGCTTAGTGCAGAACTGAATTCCAAAGGAGGCGGCTTTTTACAGGTACTTGCTGCTGAAAAATAATTTCCCTGCCAGATACACTGTGAGTGCATTAGCCTGTTCTTACTCCTTCGTGTTTACTTTACATTAAACCTGCCAGGTATGGATTTCCTGTGGAATTTTCCTGAGACCGTATGTAATCTGTCTGGAAAATGGGAAGACCAGTAGCCCTGCACCCTAGAGCTGCCATTTCCAAGGGAGCATTTCAGGTTGTGGCTCCCGCTGTGAGACAAAAGAGCCATCTCATTTCCATCTGGTCATCTTACTGGGTGCTGCAGGCTCATTGGCAAGTCCAAAGCGATTCAAGGGGCAGCATCTTTCAGTGAAATGCACCATGGGGGCACCTGGCTGCTTGAGAGTTTCTCTTACGCTGTGGTTGGAGGGCCAGCTGTGTTCTCTGTGGTGGGTGGGGGCAGAAAGCAAGCCAGCTGCACACTCTGTGACCAGCAGCCAATGGAACGTATCCGGCCTCCTGTGCCTCCAGCAGCTGTGGCAGCCCCGACTCAGCTGGAGCGCCTGTTCCCTGAGGCAAGTGGTAACTGGGCTTCCTGATGCTACTGTTAGTCCTTTGTTTTGAGAGAAGCTGGGCCAGTCCAGGGCGATAGAAAGGACTCAAGAAGAAACACACAAATTAAAAAGCAGAATAAAATATTTCTGATATATTTGTTTTAAAATAAAATAACTAAAATGTCAGGATGAAAGGAAATAGCACTGATGCATAAGCTCATAGAGGAAGGATGCTTCACTGCACTAACAAAGAAGATACTAGGTGTAGCACCCACATTCTTGTCCAGAAAAACTCTCAGTCACTCCTTTCATACTCCGGACAATTGATGAGGTATAATAAAGTGATTTGGGAAAACATGATTTATCTCTGGATGGACCCTTTTCTTTGTTTAATTCCTTGGGACTGTTCTGAGCTGTTACCCTGAACACCATCTTTCCAATCTCCATGCCTCCCTTGCTTTTCTTTGGTGATTTACCAGGACCAAGATGAGGATACCGTCAGCCTTGAGTATCCACCAGTGCCACATGTGCAGACCCAGCCTCAATATTTTCAGATGGAAAATATTTGAAGAATAAAAATTAAAAGTGACAATGCAACAATAAATAATACACATTGAAAAAACAATACATACAGGTTGAGTATCCCTTATCTGAAGTTGCTTGAGATCAGAAGTGTTTCAGATTTCGGATTTTTTTTTGGATTCTGTAATATTTGCATCGACATAATGAGATATCTTAGGGATGGGACCTGAGTCTAAACATGAAATTCATTTATGTTTCCTATATACCTTATGCACATAGCCTGAAGGTAATTTTGTATCATATTTTAAAATAACTTTGTGCATGAAACAAAATTTGTGTTAAGTATTTATGTGTGGAATTTTCCACTTGTTGACATCATGTTGGCACACAAAAAATGTTGGATTTTGGGGCATTTTGGATTTTGGATTTTCAGATTAGGGTTGCTCAACATATAACTATTAAATAGCATTTACATTGCATTAGGTATAAGTAATCTAGAGATGATTGAAAGTACAGGAGGATGTTTGTAGGCTATAAACAAATATGCCATTTTACATAAGGGACATGAATCCTCAGATTTTGGCATGCTGGGTTTTGGTGGGTGGACGGGGTGGGGGGGTTCTTGGAACCAACACCCTGTAGATCTGAAGGATAACTGAGACTTACTCCAGTATGTTTCAGTAGTTTAACAGTCATTTCTTAGGTGTTGAGCACGCTTCTCTTGTGTGGTATGGATTAGACAAATCTACCTTCCCATGGCCTTTTTGGTTCCACAGAATATCCTACTTTAAAAAGAAGTTAATTGGCATGGTTTTGTGTTATGAGATACTTTTTCAGAGTAGAAATAGTTTCAAGGTATCAGAGTGTGCTCAGTGTGGGGCAATATTCTTTAGCCTAAGCTACTTCACGGCTCCTCATGTCTAACATAGACCTGCTCCTTAAGAACACAGATTTCATTATATTTCTATCCTTTTTGGGAACATGATTCATCATGGTCTTTTTTTGGTAAAAGTGGATCAAGGTGATTCAGTCTACCCATTGGTTTTGGCTATTAATTTGATCTCAGTGTATTGAAAGCTCAGGAGCTCAGAGGATTGATGTTTACTAAGAGATGTCAGGCTAGTTCACCACCCACCAGGTTAAATGATGTTTCAATTTCTTTTCCAGATATTAAATGCTACAAGGGAGTTGTCTAACACGGCTGCCTACCAGTCTGTCCGCATCTTCTCCGTCTCCCCCATTCAAGCAGAGCAGGAGCTGGAGGACCTTGTTGCCGTTGACTTGCAGTGGTCTAAGCCCACTGAAGGTATGACAGCTTGAACGTG